AAAGAATGCATGTTACCAAAGGCAATGCCTTCCCACTGAGCTTGGCAGTACCCTCACCTGATAGTCACCAGGTTGTCTGAAGGTTTTGATGCTGATACCACACCTGATCATTTGTAGTATTCTATGCATATATTTCTTCCCTTAGAAATATGTCAAAATAATAAAAGAAATCTAAGTGGCTACTTGTGAGACACAAAAAGTGCCTGGCTTAGTTCCTGTGTAGGAGGCAGACTGTGACTGTGACCTATGAGGAGAGCGAAATATGGTCTATGTGCCTCTATGATTTGCCCTCCTGACTGCGGACACATCTCCATCATCTTGCCAGACCCTAAGGGACGCCTGTTTAAAGCAGCTGAGCTGGGACAGACTGGCTAGGACAGGGAAGAAGCCAGCTATTGTTGGTCCGGGGGAAGTCTACACAAACTGAGCTGCGCAAAACTCCAGTTGTGCTGTTTTAATGGGGAAAAAAAAAAGTCTTTAGCTTCTCTGTAATTAAGGAAAAAAGTTTAAAAAGAAGTGATGAAAGATCTAGGAAGCAGAATTTTATACTACGGTAAGTAATCTTTAGTTTGACAGCTTATAATCAGTAAAGGAGGAGTTAACTCAATTACTCAGCTGTTTTTGGAGTTGATGAGTAATTGTAAATTTATCATCCCACTTGTATAAGTGGAAGATTATGAAAATAGCCATTCTTTGCAAAATACTTTTTATTCCACATGAGAAAATGTGACTTTGTTTTTTGCTGCAATGAAAATTTAAAACTATTACAATTCAAACTTAATGCAAGAAATTTTGGCTTAACTTGCCAAAAATACTCAACCTCTTTCTACCCGAGAGAAAAAAAAAAAAGCTTCTAAGGCATTCTATTACATTCATATACCATTTCATATGCATGGATCTCATCATTCCCACAGACTAATACAATGACAACAGAGGTTAAGAAAACAGAAAATTCAGTTCTCAGAAGACCAAGAATTTAGAGGCATATAAAAATGTCTCTAGTTATAAGATTTTTGAAAAATTATACACATATAAACTGTTAACTGCTATAGAAAGCATGCTTTACTGTAGGCTGGAATTTAGGTTATTTGAAAAGCCCTTCCTGATAATGAGAATTATTACAGTGAATGGGTTATTGGGCAGGTCTTTATAGGCTAAAGGAAGAACATTATTTTATGACATGATGGACTTGGAATGTATAAACATACAGTATAATCCAGCATATGCCCCTTAAATCTTTTATCGATACATCTCATGAAAGACAAGATTATTTTTGGTACTCAATTTTCAGATATCTAGTCTTAATACTTCACCATTTTGCTTCATCTTTACAGTAAGTTCACAAATTAAGATAAGTCACGTGTGACTGGCTTAAAAATTGAAAGTTCAAATTAGGGAACTGACAAAATAATTTTATGTTGTATGATAAAACGAAGTGGAGTTATTCTTTTCTCATCCTTTCTTATATTAAAAGGTGGTATGGTGGAGGTTTTTATGCTAATACTATACACAGATTAACTCTTGCCATTAGTTCAGAGTGATCCCACAAAGGTTGAAATATTTTTGGTTAGTCTGAATGAGTCTGAGTCCAAAAAAGCACTGTGTAAAAATCAAGGGTATGCGTTTAAGAACCAGACAGGTCTGGATTGGGTTATAGCTCAAACTGTTAGGTATAATCTTGGACAGTTAACCTCTTATTCTCCAATTCTTAATAAATAATATAAAGATAATAATACTATGTACTCTATAGGATAGTTAATGAGCCTTAAATAACAGATTTCAAACACTTAGCATGGAGCTTAGCACAGAGACCAACCAAACAGTATTAACTAGTATTAACAATACTAACTAGTATTGTATTTTCTTTCTTTTTTTGGATCTGTGACTCACAGTGGGTTCTGTCAGTTATAGCAGGGGAACCTATTCTCTGACCAACCCCATTCCTGTCTGTCCTCTGAAGTTAGAAGGGAGTGAGAAGGTGCCACCTGGTACCTAGAGAATCATTTCTCATATGCCTCTGACTCCTCATACAAAAGTGTCTATGAAAGCTAAGGGACGTTTTTTTTTAGGATCTCCCATTGAGTTCCAAGACTTATCCTCCCAAAGAGTATGAGCCACAGTAGGATGTCACATTTTCTGTAATTCTTTGTTGTAGTTGCTGTGGCATTTACAATCAGTTATTGCTTAGATATTAAAAGAATTATAAAGGAAGTCAAATTCCATTCTTCAGTAAAATGTAGAAGTAGGATTAGTCCCATTGTGCAATAAAAACATGAAAAGCTTAAAAAATAGAATATCTATCTTTAGATCATTAAGCTTACTAAGTCATTCCAGATTCTTTTATTTGATTAAGACCCTGTCCTGATGAGATATTTTTAAAGTGACCTAAATCAGCAACATTATAATCTATGTATATCTATAGCTGTGGATTTTTAAAATCGCATTCAAGTACAATATTATGTGATAGTACTGTCTCAAATCCAAATGCATTTTTTTCTTTTTTTTTTTTACTCTGGAAACTGGGATATCTTATGACCAATGTATAAAGTTAGGCTGTGGTGGTTCTTTTGTGTAAAAACTGACCTTAAACCAATAATGTATCTTGCAAGTGATGGAATCTTTGACTTATGAAAATAGGATATTCTGAAATCATCTTGCTTTGTGTTGATGTTACCTAAAGTTATTTCTCTTACTTTTTCTTAATTATTGGTAAAAGAAACAAGTTTAAAATATAAGGAAGATAATCCAAAGGCTTAAGATTTTTGATGCATATGTACATGTGGGTAAAATAGCCATCACTTCAGTTAATAGCTGGACTTTACTATGTTTCAACATTACTTTAAAAGTCCCAGATAGTTCTCAAATATGATAGGAAATATAATATTTGTAACAGCAAGATTCCAAGGAGAGAAAAAGCCTCCCTGATCAGTTTCTAGAAACCTCTTTCCTCACTCTCAGGGTACCTACTTCTCTTGAGGGTCTCTGTGAAAGCAAAGGTAGCAGCCATACCTGTTACTATGATGTGCTACTACACACCATTCAAAACCTGACATGTATACAGCACTGCGCTGGGTACACAGTAGTTATTTCATAAAAATCTCCTGGCTTACTCATGTGAAATACAAAACTGTTCTAATTAGTCATAAATACAGTTTTTAACATTGAAGAAAACCAAATTTCTAGAAATGTCCCCTGTTCTGTTTTTTCCCCTTTGTTCCTGCCAATATTTCTGTGAGTTAATTTTGGGACCAACTTTTACACAAATAAAAGTCACTGATAAATGAAGTCCAAAATGTTCTTTCTGTCATGAACTATGAAAACAATTTTTTTTGTCTATTTTGTTAGCAAACATGGAAGTCCCCATCCCTAAAGAAGGAATACCACTTAAAAAAAAAACAAAAAACATCTGATTAGCCCTGGCTGGTGTGGCTCAGTGGATTGAGTGCCGGCCTATGAGCCAAAGGGTCACTGGTTCTATTCCTAGTCAGGGCACATGCCTGGGTTACAGGTCAGGTCCCTGAAACCCCGAGGAAACCACACATTGATGTTCTCTCCTTCTCTTTCTCCCTCCCATCTCTCTGTAAATAAAATTTATAAAAAAAAACCTAAACAAAAAACCAAAAACATTTGGTCCATGAATTTGATGTTAAAAGCTGCTGATGTGAAACACTGATTTAGAACAATAAGCAATGAAATTACTAACAAGGATTTTCTTTAGGGATACCAATAACACTTAGCGATTAGGTGGCAAGTTGGTTTGCAAATATTTGAATCAATTAAGCTGAAAAAATAACACATATGCAACTGGGAAGAAAAAATATATGAAAAAAACAAAGAGTAAGAGAAAGGGAAGAAAGGAGGAAGGGCATTTATCATAACGTATTTAATCCAAATTTAAAAAAAAATCCTGATCTCTATAACAATTTATATTCCAAAAGAGGAGTTATTTAAATGCTGATATTACAATAGGCATAGAATCAACTATTAGATCCTAAATAAAAATTACTTCTATGCCAGTTCACAAAATCATGATTAAAAAGCAAACTTCAAATACTAAATCCATTTTATTTGCTACCTAATTCCATCAGAGCTAGCAGAAAATTTAATAACCACAGAGCTTATAGACAGAAAGAACAAGGTGATCTGTTTTTGATAGTTTTTTTTACCCACTTCCAGGCAGAAGAAATTAGATTTTTTAAAACTGAAATAATGTATGAAGCCTCCCACTTCGTCTTTAGCTTTGAGCGTAAGTGAAATGCATAATAAAAACATTCTTTTTTTTTTCATGTTTGGCCCAACAGCTTCGGGAACTCTGAAATAGTCTCTTTCTGGCTTTATTAAATGAGAAATATCTGCATAATTTCTACAGCATCAAAAGAAATTTTCATTGAGGTAGATATAGAGGATTCATCATCAGGAGGCGTCTATATGCCTATCATGTATGCATGTGATTTTTACAAACACCATACAAATGTTTTTGAGTTACAAAATATATGACACATTTTATCTTATTATCCTATGCTCAGTATACTATTATTTAGAGTTCTTGTATTTGCACTTTTTCAAGAACCATGGTAAAGAATAAAAGGCAAAGAAAACTGATCACTTCCTGCCTTCAAATAACATAATATCCACCAATGCTCAATTGATTGACAAGTGCAGATAAATGCTATTTTCAAGCAAGCTGTGAATTATATCAAATGACTTTGAACGAGAAAAAGGCCATGGCTTAACTCTTCAGTGAAAGGTTTTGCTTGAAATCTATCAACTTTCCATTCTGCAAAGCAACTCATCCGCATAAAAAGTCAAAGAGGACTCCATTTAATTAGTGATACGTACTTTTGCATAGAAAAAGGTTACAAAGTAATGCAAAAAAAAAACCCCAACAAATAAACAAAAACAACAAACCAACCCTAGGTACAATAATTTTAAAACAAATATTTTAAAGTATAATTTTACATAATGTTTAACATTCTTTTTTATTGCTTTCTCCACACAGCAGAGAAATGAAGTGCATAATAATACATGCTGTGTCTTTATCTTTCAAACATAAAATCTCACGTGCTCAATTTCAATGTATTAAGAGATTATTTTGTCATTAAACAAAATAGACAAAACAAAACCAAAACACCATTATGCAGCACTAGTCTAGGCATGGACAAAACTAATTTATGTACATCCCATTGCATACATTCACCTTGACTGGGGATCAAATGCAATCTTAAACTTGACCAAGAGCATTTAAAAATCGTGGCTTTTCTCTTCCTAATGGTATCTATCTTCCTGTGTATCACCTCCAGAAATACACCTTCTCCCAAAAGGATGACAAAAATAGATAGTACATGTTATCAGGAAAAAATGAAGAGAATGTGATAATAGTCCAAATGAAACAATAAATTAATCTAAGCTTTTATGAACTGGCGTTTTCAAGTTGGCATTAATCAGCCTCTGGTGGGCACACAGTAGGCAAGTGCTCCTAGGTGCACTCTATAAATGCATGGTTTATATAAAGAAGCACCATATTTTGAGCCATGAAAGAAAAAGGTGCCTAGGGGTTTGCAGGCAGAGCAGAATGCTTGTTAATCTGAGCACTGAGGGAATAATTGCTTATTCCAATTCATTGCTGAATGTTGCCACTTGGCAAATCTGTACAAAGAAAGCAAACTAAAATAAAACTAGGCCTTCAACTTGAAAATTATTTTCAGCAATTCTTTTGGCCAATAAAAACCTGTTGGTTCCAACATGGTACTCTTCTCTGGCATTCTGTCTGCAGCTTAACGCAAGCCTTATGTCCCTTTCCTTTCTTAACTTAAATTCTACGCTCTTTACTTGTGCAATGTTATATGTTTAGGAAAAAACTTCACTAGCTCAGGCACTTAGAAAATACAAATATATATATTTTTTTCCATCTAGTTTCAAGAGAATTCAGTTAGGGCATTTTTCTTCTCCAATTCAGATATACCGATGCACTGCTGGATGGTAAGGTCCACATATTTTCCAGGAAAATTCTAAATGGAAACAAGTGTGAAGTTTTCAAAAGTTGTTGATGTCAGTTACCAAGCTGCCTTAAACAAAACAAAACAAAACAAAAGGTAATACCACATTTCCATTTGTGAGGTTTGTGTCCAAATAGCTTTATTGTTACTTTGTGGATCTGTAGACGTCTATCTGTATGGCTACCTTCGGGGTGCAGAGGTTTTAAGCTGACTCTGAAATGATCAGGACATTCAGTTACTATTGCAGGAAGTTCGGTGAAAACCTAAAAAGCGCCCACTTCGGTCCCCCAGGGTCGGTAAGGTTTACTGTTTGTTCCACTGCTTGTCTGCTGAGGACTGGATGTGGCTGATACCGATAAGGGTGGGCTGATCGCTGTGGCGGCTGCCACTGCTGCGGCTGCATTTGGGGGGAGCATGGGGAAGGCCCCTGCGAAGGACAGAGGGAAGCTGTGCGCCGCCGCGGTGGCTGCTGCAGCGGCCGCGTGGACAGTGGCCGAGAGGGACAAGAGAGAGGTGGAGAGGGGTGGCACACACGGGGCAACACTGCCCGTTGACGGCATCCGAAGGGCAGAATCTGCGTGGGCAAAGGTGGCCGTGAGGAGAGCGGAGCCATGGGCAGAAGGCACTTCTGAGGTTGTGGAGAGGCGACAAGGCGTTGACTCCGAGGCGTGGAGTCCGCTGGGTTGGAGCAGGGCTGCGGGTAGATGGTGGAAGGCCGCAGCCCAGTGGTGCGGGTGTAGCGGGTGATGGTGGTGGGCCAGGGACGACGTCATTGCTGCTGCCTCCCGCTGCGAGGCACAGGTGCTGAGATGAGAGACGAGTCGCACCCGCAGTGGATCCGAGGAGTCCAGACCTTCCACCGAGCTCAGATACCTCGCCACTTCCGTTAAGCACTCTCGGAATCCAATGCTCATGAAGTCCATGGCCAGAGCATGGGCATCAAAGTAGCCTACAAGGGGGTTTGAGCAAAGTGGGATGGGGGGGATGGGGGGGGAAGTGGGCGGTGGGTGGGGGAGAAGGAAATTACCCAGTTACTAAGAGCCCCACCAACTATACTACACTCTGTCCTTCAGAAAGTATAAGCAGAATGACAACCCTTTCTGAAAACACTGCCAAGTATTTATGGTTGTAATTTTTGCGGAAGTTAAGAAAGTGTACTTTGCAATGCACAGGTGTGACAACTCTAGCAATGCTATATACTACAGTTGTTCTTGCAACCAAATAGATGTTTCAAATACTTACAGGGGAAATACTTATAGAGTCTCTCCTTTGTATTGTGTGATAGTGAAATTCCCTAGTCAACTTTTTCACGGTAACGAGTTTCCAGTCTGTCTGTCTGTCACATGACTTGGAGATGAAAGGGCCCTTACAGCATTTGTGAGTCTTGAAAGATGTGAACTCACACTGCCAGCCCCCCTTCTTCAAGGCCCACACATTATCCTGCTTGATGACCTGTTTAACGACCTGGCAGTCAAGCCACTTATATGTGCTTGCTTGGAAATGTGTGTTCATAAACTATTCTGGGATGAATTTTAGGACTTTTCAGGTAGCCAAGAATAGCAACCAAGATGGAACTTAGTTTTTATAATAAGTCATAAGAACAATATTCCTTTTTAGAAGTATACTGCCTGCCAAATATTTGAAACCTCGATAAGAATTCTTAGTCTTGTGGTTAACAATGCCAAGGGAGGCAGAATAATCAAACAACTTCCCTTGCACCATCACTCACTCAGTCAGGGCCCTAGTGCCCTGAGGCCGCAGGTACAGAGACGGAATCGCCGGGCTGGAGGGGCCTGAGAGCTCAGAGCACTGGCGCACGCCTGCCTCTGCTCACAGGGGAGGCAGTGGCCAAGTGGGGCTGGATTCTTGGTTTTTAAGATTTCATTCAGTTCCTTTCTTCCTTATGTAAGAATGTTTGCATCCTAAACTTTGGGTTAAATTTTAATGAGTAGAAATTTTCAAAAATGCCATCATTCAGGATGCTCCCTTGAGAAAGCATAACCAAGCCTAAGTCACACCATGTGGGCTTCCCTGCACAATGATCAGCCCTGACACACAAATATCCAAATATAAACAGGTGGTCAGAGGCAATCTTTTTCTCTTTTTCTTCTTTCTCTTTTCCCAAATCCCCATTAAATCAGAGCTAGGGCTCAGTATAATGCAGCTATTCCAAAGGAAGTGACTTGAGAATTACTTTCCTTGTTTTTTTCAGATTTTGCTTGGTCTTGGATTTAGAGGTGGTCAGGGCTGTGTTCCACAGGTTCTCAGCAGTATGGCCATAGTAGAGTTAAAACACTGAACTACTTCCATACCAACTGGTAAACAGCTACTTTCCTCCAGTGCCCTAGTCCTGCCATGATCTAGGGCGACCTATGGCACTGCAGAGCAAAGTGGCTGATAGTAAGCACAGCAGCCTCCAGAGTGTACGTGCAGCAGCACTTAGTCCCTTGTGGTACCCGTTCTTACTGAGTTGTCAAATGCACTAAATAACACCCTTGGCTAAGATGAATAGCAAAGGCTTGTTTGAAGGATGAAAAAGATATAAGAGTGAATCCAGTGCAATTGAGAAATAGGATGATGAAATCTGAATGAATATTACAGCTTTTGCAACCTCAAGTCTAATTTTAGCATGAGGTAAAGGTCCATCCCTGTCCCCTGGACAATTCTTCCCAAACTCACTATGGAATACAGAGGACATTTCTCCAGGGCGCTGGGCTGAGGGCACCTGCTACTGTTTGCTCTTGGCAGGAATGACTGCTCCATTAACAGTTTCCAGTAGAGATTCACTACCTGCACTTCAAATGCTCTGTCTGATCTGAATCCAAGACCAACCAAAACCTGAACAAAACAATGAAAAACATTCTAGAGTCACTTCCTTTGGAATAGCCGCATTATACTGAGTTCTAGCTCGAGCTTCATGGGGAATTTGTGGGGAGGGAAAGAAGAAAAAGAGAAAAAGATTGCTTCTAACCTCCTGTTTATGTTTGGATGTTTGTGTGTTTGTTTTGTCTTTCTGTACAGATTCCAGCGTGCGCTTCTGAAGTCCCAAACAAATCTCTGACCAGGCAGCTGTGAATGAAGCTTTACTCCCACAGTATTATGAAAGCAAACACAAGCCCAGGGTCAAGTGCTTCTTTTGTCCCAGAAGTTCTTTCCCACGAGTTCAATCCTGCCATTAGCATTGATTTTCACGGCTTTAATCTGGGACCTCCTATCTTAGCTTGTTAAAGAACTGTTCAACTATGACTTCCTTACAATCTTAGGGGGGGAAAATGAAAAAAAGGAAGGTGGAAAGGGGGGAAAAATGAAGTCACCGACTTACCTTTACCCCCGGTTGCCTGAAGCATCTTCAAATGATCCACTGTCATTTGTAGTATTTCAGCTTTTTCTAACTTTGCAGATCCCTGCATAAACAAATAATAAAGTCTTATGAGCCCTAGCAAAACTAATTAGGAACATTTTACACTGGATTTTCAATTTTCCTTGTAACTAGAAAATTCAAACTTTAATTTTTTCACAGGACAATCAATTCTTTCCAAACTTTAAATGAAAACACTAATTACTATGTCACACTTAATGACAGATATTTGCCATTTTAACTTGTAAATTTTTTTATTGAGAGAGAGGAATAGCCATTTGATGTTGAGCCCATTTAAGCATGCATTAGTTGTTGCTTCTTGTATGTGCACTGAGTGGTGATTGAACCTGTAACCTTGGCATATCAAGGCAATGCTCTAAGCTAACTGGGCTACCTGGCCAGGGCCATTTCAACGTTTAAGGACTAAAAGACCTAATAAATATATTTTTTTATCATAAGAATAACTACACTCCCAGTATCACTCAACAAAAATTATGAAAAATTGCAGAAATCTAAAATTTTGCATCCAATCAGTACCTTGGTTAATAGCCTGCCTAATTTTTTTTTTAGCAATTATATTTAGAACATCCAATAGTCCTATATAATGCTGAAGTCTAGGTCACTTGAATACATCTCTGGAGGCTAAGAAAATACGATCTTAAGTTGTTGTTGAAAGTATATTTTTTAAAATAAAAAATTTTAATAAGCCTTTAAAGTAATTCATACTAGATGACGGGTAAGCAGAACCAAAAATAAAGAAGGGAAGATTTTTAATATTTTTCCCAATAATTACCAGCAGGTGTCACTGCAAATTCCAAGATAATAAATAAGAAAGCATAATTTACTACTTATATAGTAAGTATCAGCAATGTGTAAGGGTATTTAAACCCTTTAAAAGCTTTTTTTCCAATTTTTTTACATTACCATTTTGTCCTCTTATAAAATTATCTTGGAAATGTATTTTCATGTTCTTCGTTTTAAAAATTAGGCAACCTCTAGAAACCAATTGAAAAATGGGTCTCCTCAAACTGTCTCAGGGTGCTGTGGGTGGCTTTTAATTTCCTGAAAGAGCTAAATAATTAAATCAATATGTTTTCCTGAAAAGGAAACTGAAGTTTATGCTTTACTTGTGAAAATTATCAGCACGATGCCAGTTATTTAAATTGTTTGAAAGAACACTCTTCCAAATCACACTGTGACAGGGCCAGCTCACTAAGGCTTGGTAGCCAAGCTCTGCAAAAGGGAAAATCTGTGTTTATGGTAACTAATTATCAAACAACTGAGGTTTGAGGTTTGCTTTTAAGGTTTTAAGTTGACATTTAAGCAAAGAAACCAAAAAACAAAAACAACCAACAAAAAAAAACCTAACATACAAAAAAATACACACCAAGCTTAATGGCTCCTTATAACTGTAGACATTTCAGTACTCAGAGTAAAAATACCACTGAATACTGATATTTTCATTTTCAGCTTACAATCATTGAAAGTGCTACTAATCAAAACTATAATTTCCGTATTACATTTACTTAATCAAAGACAGTTTCAGCATATAGAATGCGTGCCTGTGTTTCTCTTAAAACTGTATAATCAATAGCATATTACATCTTGTACTTCTGTCAGTGTTCAATTTTTCCATGAAGATATACAGTAGTTTCAGTGAAGACGACTAGTAACAAAATTGTAGTTCCTGGATAATTTCCGGGGGCTTTATGATGTTTGTGGCTCATGAAATAAACAACAAAATGAAGTAACGAAGCAACTGCTGTCTTATACTCTATTTAAATTAAATTGGAAGTATTTTCAACAAGGGTATACCTCATTCTTTGAAAGATACTCTTAGAAATCTGTGCCATTAGCCATGGTGGCAGGAGGAGAAATAACTTCTACAGAACGACAAAGAAAGATTTACATATTTGGCTTCCTATTCTTTTTTAAGTGTGCAAAATCTTTTTTTCCCCCTTAGTAAAGAAATACTTACTTGAATTTTGAACAATGTATATGGCTAGTTTGATTTTAACCAAACTTCCAAAAAAGATGCTCCAAATCGAACATCATTCTGTTAACCCAGAAATGAAACCATGTGGGTTGGTCTATAAATTTTATTAGGATTATTATTAAGGAAATAGAGCTAGAGATGTTACTTATTGGGCTGTAGTTATTTATAAAATAAGCTGACTTTTTAAAAACAAACAAAAATGAAATTTCACGTATCTTTTTTTATTTGAAGAATACTACATACATCTTGGTTTTAAACAAAACCACTACTGGTCTTCATAGAAAGAACAGAGAAAGCACGAACACTGTTATCCTTAAAGGGAAAATAGGCTCAAGAATGGAAATGTTTTTCAACTTCACCATGGATTATGTTTTTAATAGTTTTGCCACAACAAAGCATTTTATTGAAATCACTGCTATGTGCCAGATCAGGGCACATACACCATTATTTTAATGAGCTTTAACAGGAACCCACATTCCCAGATGAGAGAATCAGATTTTTTTGAGCTTTTTGGTTGGTGTGGTCAGGGGTGAGGGTAGCTTACTTGTTTTTCAAAAGCAGTTGGCACCAGTCGTCTCAACTCAGATAAACTGTTATTTATCCGATCTCGACGCCTTTTCTCTATTATCTATCCCAAGAAAGCAAAACAAAAATTTATGAATACACAACTGATAAAATTACTCATAATGGAAAAACATACCTCTTACACGTTAGGTTGGATTGCATGAAATAAAAAGAAAAAAAATCACATACCCCTCTCCTTTTCTTTCTTGCCATTATCTGAGATGTTGTTGTTGGAGAATTCGATCTAATCACAGAGCTAGAACTTTGCCTATGAAATAGAAAGAGTTATGTCAGGTGCTGCATTAACATAACCATTGTTTCTTCTGAGGACTTGATGGCACCCATTAAATACTGAGAGTGACTGCACAGTTCAGGTCTGTGTTATTTTATTCTTAATTCTTGCTTTACTCTCCACATAACTTTGCTTTCAGCCTGTATATCTTTTTTCAGGTAAGATTATGCCTTTTTTTTTCCCCTCAAGTTTTAATGAGTATTTTAGATGCCAAATCCATTGGCAAAAACATCCCTAAACTTTTTTATTAAGTCTCCCAGTGAAACAATTATGAGCAGTCAGGGTGAGAAATTAGATATCAGTACTTCCTTCTTCCACTCATAAATGTTTCTTAAAAGTCGACTAATCTCTAATAGCATCCTCCTCCTCTTTCCGGTCAAGACATACTGAACAAAGCAAAGCTATTTTAAAATAAAGGCCATGCTTAGTACCACTATCAAACAGATACATAGTCATCACATGTCCAACTGTTGTTTCTAGATGCAACCTTTAAAATAAACAGAAGCTACCTATTTCAAATAGTCTTATTTTGCAAGGAAAAAATGACAAATTTAATGTTTTGTATACTAATCTTCCAAAAGAATGCCCCAAATTAAATATGCCACTGGTAGGAAAATTAAAATTAGGTCACCTACTAGGCAAATGTTTTATTTTGAAAATGAAACATGGTAGGTGAATATCTTTGTGCCTTCAATCTAAGCTTAAACCTTTGGGAGCTGCAACTCATTTTGAGTTTCCCCATGAAAAGATATTTTATATTGAATGTTCAATCAAATCTTATTTTGTTACTTAGAATTTTTGACATCCTTTCTAGTTCGTATCTGCTACTCTTTCTAACTCATAGATTCTCTGCTTCTTTATGTTCTCAGATTCTCTGGGTTGCTATTATTTGTTCTCTTTCATTTTAGAAATGTTGCACACACCAGGTTCTTATTACTTCATCTTCTCACTTCTGGATCTTATTTCTGAAATAACTGTCTTTCTCATTCCCACCCTTTTCCAACTGGTTTCGCCTTTCACATGACATTTTCTGTTTTTCTGATCTGATATTTTAAGATGGCACAATATTTTAATAAGATACTTTGCAAACAATGCTTCATGTAAATAAATATCTTTGTTCTTGCTGATTTCAGACTTTGGTTTGTATGTATTAGAATAACAGCACTGAAAAAAAAAACAGTATTAAAAGTTTTCCAAAGGTAGGAAGAATTTTTCTCTTTGAGTGACAGCTGTAGATAAATAATTAAGGTGCTTCTGGGGATGCCCATTAGAAGCAATTATCATTTGACCCGCCTTGGCACTAAAATGCCTGGGTAATCTCCCTCTGTCACTGGAAAGTGGAGGTCTGGCTTCTGTGATCAAGACCACGATCTCTTCCAGACTTAAGAACGAGTAGTCAAAGAGATGATGTCCGAAACGATCTGTCACTCACCCTCCTGTCATCCAACTCACAGCGTCAACCTGGAAAGCTCAGCCTAGATAGACGTGACATCGCAAATTGCTTTAACTTCTCCAGAAAGCAAGCTATCTTTTTAGTCTCTTTAAAAATAAAAATTATTCTTTCTTTTCACTTGGCTCATTTCGAAAGCGCCCCCAACAGTTTCAGTGGCGGGGCGTCGACAGTCGCCGGGACGTGTTTGTCCGCGGGCCCCACGCTGACAGCCAGGCACCCTTCCTCGCCAACTCCTGCCCTTTCAGTCGCGTCCCCTGTCCTCTGCGCCCCACCCCTAGACTGAAAACCAACATCCCTCGCCCCACCCAACGCACGCTCCTGAGCGCCCATCACTCAGTTTCTCGAGCAAAACTTTTCCCCGCTCCTTTAGGACGCCGCAGAAAAGCGCCTAGAGATTTCCATGGAGCGGCTCCTACACAAAGCTCCCCGACGCCTCGGGCTCCGGGCAGCTCTCGCGGAGCCCGCGCTCACCCCGAGTAATTGTTCTCGCTCCCCACGTCAATGGTCTCGTCCATGTCGCTCTCGGAGGTCGTCTCCTCGCAAGGGCGCTTCATCGCGGTGAAGACGGCGCGGGGCGCAGCCCGGCCGGAGCGACGAACGCCGAGCGTGGCGCAGCGACCTCCCTGTCTGCCTCCTCCCTCCCTCCCTCCCGGGGCCCGGGCAGGCGCAGCTCCGGCGGCGGCGCGGTCTGCTCCTCCGGGCTCTTTCCCACGCCGCAGCCCAGCACTGCTGCAAGAGCCGGCGCCGGCCACGCCCCCCCAACGGGCGGGGCCCCCCTCACACCTCCCTCGTGCGGCCCCCGCCACCCCGGCGGGTACCGCCTCCTCGGGGTCGACGTGGCCCGCAATTGGCTGGGGCAAAGAGGCGGGGCCGCACCCGCCCTTGCCCGCGGCGAGGCTCAGGCTGAAGCGTGGGAACACAGCCTCACACCTGGGCCCCGGGAGCTGCGCGCGGGAGGGGAGAGGCCGTGGCGAGCGTGAGCGCCAGGTTGCTATCTCTAGCTAGGGAAACGCGCAGACGTGGGCGCCGGCACAGCGAGGGCGGGCCGGCGCGGGGCGGGCGCTTGGATCTCGGGCTTTGGCCCCCTTTTCTCACCCCGCCGTCTGCCGGTAAAGTTTCAGTCCTGAGTTTAAAGAATAACCCCAAGCGCGTGGCTGAGTGTGAGCGAGCGTGTGTGACGTCGGGAGGCGCCGTGGCTTAACCAAGCCGCCCCACTCGGCTGGCCTGGCGGGACCAAAACTGCTGACTGGCTGACCCCGGCGGTCACATTTGCCCTCTGGGGTTTTTGAAAACCTTAAATCAGAGTTACTTTTCTCCCCTGCAACTCCCGAGGCTAATTACGCGGCCTCTGGCCTGCCAGCAGATAAGCACGTGAGTTTCCCCTACCAGGTACCTAACCGCTGGCGATCGGAGGGTCTGAGGTTGGCCCCCACACGATTTTCGATTTACTCTAAGTCACTTATTGCCATTTGGCCACTGGGGCTGTGGATAGTGGATCCCACTGAGTAGACGGTGCCTGGAGTTGTGTCTACTGTGGCGGCAGGCAGGAGTAGAGCAATAATGCGGGTATTTCAGGACACAATTTTAGTAGTTTTTCAAGTTTAGTTTTTCGGGCTTGGATTATCCAGATAATTTTAATTCTTCACTCCTCCTGATGTGTGCAGTCGTAGCAGTAATTTTAATTAGAATCCCGGACGTGAATAATCTCTCTGGAAATTGAATTTGTTTTCTAAAGCTCGAAGTCGTGTCCCGTTTTCAGTGCATCGGACACTGAAAGTTGTAAAAACTCTAGATGTGCGTTCAAAACATGTTTTCATGCTTTCCATGCTCTGCGGTATTTTTGAACCGATGTGCCTCCGCGAGGGCAGCCGGGGTCGGCTTGTCCGCCCGGGCGCCGCCGTACCGGGAGGCGGGAGGCGGGAGGCGAGTGGCGGGTTGATAGGGTTCCAGCCGGAGACTCCACTCGTTGCGCCGTGACAGCTCCGTGCTCGGTGGAGAAAAGCCCCCGAGAAAGGGACATCTATCAGTTTCCACCACCCTTCACCACGGACCGATTCATATTTCTCTGGAGATCTGTTAAGAGCGTCCCTTCGACAGTCTATTCCCACCCCACACGAGACCCGCGCGGGACTGGGAGAAGAGGAAAGGATGCGACTTGAGAGACCCTGCCCGGCGGGGGTTGGGCAGGGGGAGAGCGGGAAGGATTTGCAGCCGGCGTGTTAAGCCCTCATTAAAACACAAAACCTCTTCCCCACACGCCCTCTTCTTTTTTGTACGGTCCCCACCGCCGTGCCTGCAATAGCCGTGTGAACAGAAACCCGAAACGCTCCATCCTGACTTCTGAAACTTAACCCCGAGCAAAGCACACAGTCGGCGGGGGCCGGGCGAGGCCTGCCGGGGCTGGACTGGGTCAGCTCAGGACAATGGGGCCTCCGGGGGCGGTGACCCCCACCCTTCTACCCCCACCCCCAGCTCTGCTCTCGGCCTCGGGGCGGGTCCCAGGCTGCAGCACCGGCGTCCCGAGCGCGCATCCCACATGTTCCGACCTCCCACGACGCCACCTGGTTCCCTGTCCCCGCCGCCCAGCGGGTTAAGAGTCGGGCGCTAGGGGGTCGGCCGCCCCAACTCGTCGGAGGATGCGCCTATGGCCAGTTCGCACAGGCCACAGGGGAGAGCGCCGCAGCCTGCCTGGCGCGAACTCAACAACTTTCAGCAAGGGCTGTAACGTTTTTCTGAAAGCGAATGCCTGCAGGTGCAATTAACGTTCACTACCCAAGCAAATTAGCAGGCGGTTCCAAATGCCAGGGTAAAAACCTGAGATCGTCGTTGGAAAGAAAAAAAAAATTTTTTTTTGAGTTCTTTTTTTACTATTCTGGTGTGTTTGATTGCAATAATTGCGAAATATTGCGAATAGGGAAAAGGTTTGCTTGCAACTGGGTTTAGTTTTCCCATTTTTTTTTGTTAACCGCTGTACCGTGTTATAAAGAAAAATATAGTGGGGGACGTTCGAAAACCACACGTGGATTTCATGTCGCTTAAATATATTTTACAAGCAAAGAGGATCATATTCTACAAGCGGTTAGAACAGTGCCTGATACACGGTAAGCGGTATGTGAGTCTGTTAAGCAAACGAACGCATAGGGTAAAAAAAAAAAAAAATTCCGCGTTTTGAACACCATGAAAAGATTAATATGCTCACTTATCTGCAAAATACTTAACCGCGATTGGGCAGCACGAGATTTATCAATTAGGCCTCTTACTCCCTAGTTAGGCGCCTAGTCTGGTGTCTTCCACAGAAAGTGCGTCTCGGGTCAGAGGGAGGAAACTCTTTAACACGCCCCAGCATTCCTAATAACGGTCGTGGACTGTGGGGGGCTGAGGGAGGGAGGTGTAGGGGCGGTGTATGCGGAGAGAAAGAATAGAGGAGATGGGAAACCGCGGGATTTCAAGCCTCATCGCCCTCCAGCGACGTCCTGTTCCGCGAAAGTTGGTTGAAGGCTTCCTAAGAGCCCGCGCAGAAGAAAAGATGTCCGCATCCAGAGCAAACCCAGTTCTTTCCTTTTCAAAGATTTGTACAAATAGATAATTAGACCGAAAGATACGAGGGACTTTCCTACAAACGAGATGCCATTAGGAAAGAAAGCTCGGCATTACGGATCTAAAGGGAATGGAGGAAGAGAGAACCGGCCGTTTTCCCGAATTTGGCCATTTCCCCGGCGTTTAGTGCTTATGTGATTTAACTCAAAAGATGTGAGAGTGAGATGTTGAATGCAAGAGACCTGGAAACATCTGACTCTCAGTGGTCCTAATCCTTCTCCCCAACTCTTTCCCCAGCCTTTAGTACTATAAAGTTGCAGTTTGTGCACCTTATCTATAAATTTGGCGACTGTGACCTAGGCTTACCTTGTCCCACAAATTTGAGTTATGTTGCACAAATTAATGTCGTGATTACTGCAGTTCTAAAATTCCCCTTGCAGCATTTTGGGAACGAACATGGGATTTTTAAGAAAAATTCTTCTTGATCTGATTTTTTTCTTCAAGATCAGTTGTCACACTTCATTTGTGGCTTCTCTGAATCCTTTGAGATGCTGCTTACAATTACTTAAAAAGTTTCTGGTCACTTCAGTGTTTGGGTTCCCATAGAAATTCCCTAAGGCATGACACTACTTAAAAAATGTTTAATGTAGTTTCTCAGTGAAATATAGGCAGCTCTGTTATTTTAAGAACTTGATTAGTCTAAGAAGGCTAAATGCACAGACTTCAAATTAAGTCCAATATTTTGCCCTATCTGAAATGTTATAATTGTTGCAGTTTCTCTTACAAAGTGAGGACAAGATGGTCCTGAGCAGGGGTAGTCTATTTTTCATTGCTGGGGCAGGTGACACACACCATGTATCTGTAGGCAGCTTGTTGGGTTGCCTTCCCTAACGACTAGGCTATTGTGAGCTGGGAATGCTTTCAAGCGAGTATGAGAATATTGCACCCTGAGAGTGGAGGCCAGGGGCAAAATCCTTGTAAATTTCAATATCTTTCTCAACATTAAGCTGGCATCAGGCAGGTCAACATAGGGCCACTGTGTGACACCTATTTTCAAGCCAGTAAAGCAAAACAAAACTGAAAGCAAGGGCAAATTTAGGCCCATCAACCTTGAAGTCATCTATAAAACTGCTTCACTAGGTAATTATTTTTGCCTGGCCAGCCACACAAAATGCATCGTATTTTTTGGCTTGCTCCAATAGGTGCTAATTATTTGTTACATCACGAGCTCTAAGATAGGAAATCTAAGATGCAAAGCCCCTTTCTTGGAAGTTAGAATGTTTAAATTGATTTCTGTTATTAAGGGGCAATTTATTTAAAAGCTTTTATTTTTGTGAGTGGTGGTATTAGTGCTTAGCATATGCCCAAGGATGAAGTCTGGTTTTATTGCAGGAACTTGAGAAGATTGTATAATAAAGTAACCAGTTTTCCTATAAGCAACAGTCCAACACTATTTTAACTTCCTCTTTGTGAGGGTTAAATTGTTGTTGGCAGGTTTTCCTTTTAAGGATTAAAAAAAAAATTCTATTTTAAAGTTGGTTTGATTGACAACTTTTCCCCTCTCTTAAGGATACAGTTAGATATAATCACTTTTTTCATAAAAATAATCTTTTAAAAATAACTACATCCTTCTAGAATGGAATGACACATAGTGGATGCACAATACATGGTTTGGAATGAATTTCTTGTTGAAATTAATGAAATCACTGTTTCTTTCCATATATATAGAATTTAGATACATTGGGATAATAAAATTAAACAACCATGAACTGAAAAAAACATGTGAAAATGGAGAGGATATGCTTAAACATGAGCAGGAAAGCATTTATTATGGATGAACCCTTATTTCAGCCCTGAGCTTCCTGGCAGACAAGTGAGAAAGAGAAACACTGTTATTGAGTTTTCTAATTCTTATTATCAGAAAAGATGAAGCACATTGCTTTTCAAAAAAGAGAAGTTTTATCCAGTTGCTGAATTTTGAAAGAACTGTCTTGTTCACAGACGTTAAAATTTTTATTTTATTTAAACAATTATTTTCATTGTCTAAAATTCTCCAAGTATGTATATTAATTATAACATAAATAATAACATTTATA